AGTCTTCACCGGGATAGAAAGCTGAAGCAGTAAGAACAGAAATTCACTACTGGAATTAGATTCCAGTACAAAGCAGTAAACTGGCTAACTCTCGTATAACCAGTCTCCTACTATCGAATGATGAGACTCTAGCAACCTAATCAGATTCTATCTATCTCAGATTGCAGCAGGAATCAGGAAAAGTTGATCAGACTTCAATTGACTCAATAAACATGCATCATTCGATTAAAATCAAACAGTAATATCATCCCAAGTCATTACAATCAATCCCCTAACACATAGAACTAGGGTTCTTCATCCCCAAGTGAGAGAGAGGTTCTACTCCATAGAGAGAGAAAAGAAAACAGTAATCGGAGTAGTCATACTCATAATGATGAGGAAAATCTGCTCCGGGATGATGATTTCCACTCCTAGGACGATCTCCAAGCTTGATTTGATGAAACCCAGCTCCAAGATGGCTTCTAGGGTGAGTTCTTCGCACTTTCTCTCTCTAAAACTCTGTTTTTTGCTCCAGGAATTCGATCCTCCCCCTTTTTGCTCGGAATAGGCTCTAAAACCAGATTTCCCGACTCGCACGGCCAGGGTGCACGGCCGTGCATATCACCATTCTGGCCGTGCAACTCAAAACGCAGCGTGTCATTTAGTCGAACTTCAGCCCTCTCGCACGGCCAGGGTGCACGGCCGTGCGAGCTTCAGGGATTGCCCGTGCGTGTCCTCGGCATAAGGCGCACGGCCATATTGCTCACGTGCACGGCCGTGCAGCCTCCCTGGTCTGCCCGTGCAGCTCCCCAAGAACCTCGCCATTCGTCCGTTCTTCGTCCAATCGACCCTAGACTCGCTCCTAAGCCTTCATTCACGTACTAGGACCTGAAACATCACAAACAAGCACAACCTAGCGTGAAATCGGCCTAAAACACGAGAATCAACACCTCAAACGGTGTAAGAATGGGGGTAAAAACATGTGTAAATGACGGTCTATCAAACTCCCCCACACTTAACCGTTTGCTTGTCCCCAAGCAAACCAAGTCAGACACTAGGTAAGCTTACACATTTCAATCAACCAACATTGGGGACAAGTCATAAAGGCACAGAACACGTGAATCGCACTGGTTTTCAAACATCAATACATGCACAACCTCAATAACAACCTGGACAACCACCACAAAGGACATTCGAGTGCAGCAAATCGAGTAAAGGAAGAGTCTCCCTTCTGTTCACTGGCCAACCTAGACTTGATTCAACCACTTACTCAAAACAGTCAACTCATGCATCCAACTCAAGACATCAGAATAGAGACCGAGCAATCTAGGTCCTCACCGGGGTACAAGAGCATATAGAAAATGAAAATGAATCACTCACTCTCGACCAGTGGGGTCAGGACAATTTGATGCGAAAGATGCGCATGCTATTTCTCTCAATCCCTATCATCTCTTCACCATGATGGCAGCCTCTAAATGCTAGAGTTCACATATGGGGTGTCACCACTAACTAATCAGGAGGTCTTAGACACAGGTTCAAATGACTGGCTAGGGTCTTGGACATGGGGAAAAGGCCTTTTAGGTGGTGGAAGTATTCATAGCAAAAGGTTCCACATTTTCCAAACACACAATCACAGTCAAACAAACCGGTATTTTCTTTCTGCTATTCTGCATTACTCAATATCTTAAGAACACAAGAGCGAAGGAGGCATAAACATCAGCATTTCCAAGCCAGACTGCTAAGAAACACTACTTACGGGGCATTATTCAGATTTTTGGTAGTGGCTCTCTTTTACTTTCAATTTTTTTTTCTTTGTTTCACTTTCATTTTTCTTTTCATTTCTTAAGAGAGCCACCCCTTCTGCATAAACTTCAAACACCTGCCCAACTTTTAAGCACTACCTCCAACACTCACATAGACTTTAGCAGAAACAGCAGAGAATATATAAAAAAACCACTCTGTGGAACCTTCTAAAAGATGCAACAAGGGTGATTTTTTTTCCATTATAGACCAAAAGAAAGGATGACACACGGCTCAAAAAGGGCTGACTAGGGGATATGACACATCAGGACAGTCAGTTTTGGGCGTGGGCTAATCCTATGCCCCCATCATCTTAGCTAGTGACAACGTGAATGCTACACATCATGGAAGAGGGATCTATCGCACAAGAAAGAAACGAGCAGGCTCAAATCTCACATGGCTACCTATATGCTCTATCTCACATTCTGATACCCTGAACTAGATGCATAAACGAGTGTCAAGGACAAGTAATCAAAGCAAGTCAGATCAAGTCACAGTTGTCAAGCAAACAGTTGAAAAACTGAACCCCTACATCGTTCTACTGCACATCTCAATCCTCATCATAGGTTGTCCTAGTCGCAAACAAATTTTCATGCATTAATCCGAAAACCAATCAATTCATCCATCAAAACACAGTGCCAATATGATCAAACAGCAGTACTTGGAGCCCTCAAATCGTAAGATTCGGACAGCGGACTAGGCTCCAAGCACCATCATAAATATTCCAACCGATACAAAGCATCCCCCCACACTTAAGAACGACATTGCCCTCAATGGAGCAGAGGGAAAGATAAGGGGAACGATGTTACCGGGTAGGAACACTGCTGGGGGACTGGAAGTGGACCAGTCAGCGAGAAACGAACGGGAGAGTGGACAATGCTGCACAAATCGAACATCAGAAACACACTAGCACACTGTGCGTTAGGGATAAGTGTTAGCCCAGACGGCTACATCAAACCACAAAGGAAAAACCAAAAACAAAAACAGACGACACTAAGTTCAAGCTCCGCACACATGGAGCAAACACACAAAAGTCTAAAACGAAAAAGAAAACACACTGAGACGGGCAACGAGTACAGCCTACTCGTCGCCCAGATCGTCGAGGTCGATGTCGTTCATGAACGCGTCATCATCCGCAGCGCCAGTAGCACCGTCATGTGGAGGGGAGTCATCCCAGGGAGTCCTCCAGACAGGTGGCTCGCCCGGGAGCAGCTGGAGCAGGTGCTGCTGGACCTCCTGCATGCGCCGGGAACGGCGCTTCTCCCGCTCGATGTGGGCAAGAGTCACGCCCTGCTGAGTCGGGATCGTGTTCAGCCGCTCGTCATAAGCATCCATCCTGGTCCGGTACTCGGCCGGGTCGGCCGCATACTGCCGATGGAACTGCATCTGCTGATCGAGGAGCAGCTGGTTCTGGATCCTCAGCTGCTCGAACTGCTGGGCGAAATGGAAGTCAGTCTGTGGGGGATTATCAGCAGCATCAGCAGCAGCATCCACCTCCTCGGGATCCACCTCATCGGCAGCCTCCTCCTCCTCTGGTACGGGCTCCGCGAGGATCGGAGGCTCCAGAAACCCATCGACCCATTGAACACCGTTCCTCTCCCGCAACAGCAGCATCTTCCTGATCGTCGTGCTGCCAAAGATGAGGGTGTCCCCCTCCTCGGTGCACCCCTGCAGTGAAAGGCCAAAGAAGGTGGCCAGGCGGGTGATGAGGGGGGCGCAGTGGAGGCTCTTCAGCTCTGTGGCCGTCTTCTCGAAGGTCTTGGCCACCACTGAACCCAGGTGGAGAGGATGGCGGCGCTGGCGGATCGAATGGAGGAAGTACAGGGGCCTCTTCGTGATGGCGCTAGCGCTGTCAGCTGCAGGAGTCTAAGACTTTGCCAGCAGGTGGTGGAGAAGTCGGTTGTCGATCTGCAGGGTAGAGGCCTTCGTCCTCCCGGACCGGAAGGGACGCGTCTGGCCTGGCCGAGCCAGGCTGGTGTACAGCCTCCCGAAGTCCACCTCCGGCGGCTCATTCACCTCGATGACGTAGTCCTCACGGTCGTCGAGGTCGAGGTCGAGAGCCTCGGCCAGCTCGTGGTAGCTCAAGGACCGGGGGACCCCGCCCAGCCTGAATTGGACGGCCGTACCGTCCTGCCAGTTGTCCGTGGTATTGTGCTTGAAGGTCGTGTAGAACTCCCACACCGGCTCGTAGTAGACCTTCTCGCAGAGCTGGAGCAGACGGCGCCAGGCGGTGTTGGCGACCGCGGCGGAGAGCTGCTCGTAGCAGTGCAATCGCCGAAACTCCCGTTTGGACCAGCAATGGTGTGACCCAAACGGGGTTTCCACGACCTCCTTGAAGCGCTCTGCGGTGGGTCTCCTCCTCAGATCCCGGATGAACGGGTGCTGGAAATTAGGTTTCGCCATTGCCCTGCAAAACAACAACCCAAAGTGGAACCCAAAAGAGCCAAAGAAAAAGGTCAAGCACACCCCCACACTTAAGAACAGAAAACAGCCTAACCATGGTTTCATCCATAGTTCGGGGGTCAAAATCTCGATAAATCAAGCAGAATCAGGGTGGGGGTGCACATTCACAAGAAAATAGGCAACTCAAGGTTCACATCCATAGCAAATACACCCTCAAACTACATCATTAAGGGCCCCAACCGGTGGCCACAACAGGGCATGGAAAACAGGCATTTCAGCGAACACCTTGTGTGCACTACTAAGTTAAACATGAAATTGGCCAAATTCTTGCACACAAGGGCTTAAACAATCAAAGGGGACTTTGCCCAACATAATTCAATCACATCCCATGCATTCCCCTCAATCAATTTCATAAGATTCACATGATTCAATAAGGTTCTCTAACATACACCCTACACACTCAATTCTCCACAATTAACATAGTTAGGGGCAAAATCAAACCTGGAGACTCAAGTAGAGGTGTAGGGAATGATGAGGGGAAGACAATGGAAGTGACGAAACGCCGACAAACTGGCCGGAAATGCTCGTCGGAGTCTCGCCGGAGTCTCGCCGGAAATCGCCTCCGGCGACTAAAACGTCGCCCAAACTCGCTCAAAATCGAGGGATAGGCCGCTTTGGGTGTAGAAAGAGTGGGTTTGTAGTTGGTTTGGTGAAAAAATTACCCAAAGTGGCCGAAAAAATCGAAAAAAGGTGGGTTTTGCGCGGTTTTCTGACGAGGGCAGAGGATTCCGGCGAGTGGTTTTGGTTTTCTGACCACAATGGCCGTGCCTCGGCTGCACGGGCATGGGCACACGGCCGTGCAAGGCTGGTTTTTGCCCGAGCAGCCGACACGGCCTGGCCGAGGAGAAGCGCACAACCGTGCACCTGGCACATATGGCCGTGCCATCCTTACCGAGAGCTCGCACGGCCAAGGGGGAATACTCGCACGGCCATGCGAGGCATTATGGTGCCCGTGCAAGACGCACGGCCAGGCCAGGACGAGCGCACGGCCGTGCAATAAGCGCTTTTGGCTGTGCGCTTTTGGCCGAGAGCTCGCACGGCCAAGGGGGGTGCCCGCACGGCCGTGCAAGTTGTGGTCCTGGCCGTGCGACTTGTTGGAGTCCCGAAATCAACCTGTTTTCCCTCAAAAAAGACACTGGACTCTGGATCAACGTCTCAAGACTCAAAAACACACAAAATCAAAGGAAAAAGAGTAAGAAAATGCAAACCTCAGTGGGGTTGCCTCCCCACAAGCGCTTCTTTACCGTCTTTTAGCTGGACACCAGTCAGTGGATGCTCAGTGAGGTGAAGGAGCAGGTGCCTTCAAGAGCGGATCCACCTCGCTCTTGAGGTACAACTTCAACTGGTGGCCATGTACCCGCCGAATGTGGCCACCAGCATTTGCCAATTCAACTTGGCCATCCGGCAGGATGCAAGCGAGTGAATACTCGGATGGCCAAGGTGGGGGCGGGACCAGCTCATAGTGGTCTCCGGCCTTCTTCCGAGCAGGCTTAGCTGCCTGCTGTTTCGGCCGCCACTCCTCCCTGATTTGTTCCTTCGATGACGGATTGGACGGGAGTGGCGGCGAAGGTATGGGAGGCGGATCCTGCAAAATAGGCAGCACAGGAGGATACACGACAGACTCGTGCTCCTGGTGAGATACAGCATGCAAAGGCGAGGAAGCAGGATGTGTATTAGAAATTGAAAATGTTATTCGCTCCTCACCATCCCTCAGAACTAAGGTCCCATCATGCACATCTATGAGGGCCTTGGCGGTGGCCAGGAAAGGCCTTCCTAGTATCAATGGCACATTCACATCCTCATTTATGTCCAAAATCACAAAATCAACAGGATAATTGAATTTGCCAACCTTAACCAGAAGGTCTTCCACTATGCCCCTAGGATGCACTACAGATCGGTCAGCTAATTGAAGACTCATCCTAGTAGCACGGGGTTCACCTAGGCCTAGTTTCTTAAACAGCTTATATGGCATAACATTTATACTAGCACCTAGATCCGCCAAGGACCTCTCTACATGCAAATTCTCTATAGAGCACGGGATAGTAAAACTACCTGGGTCCTTCTGCTTCTGCGGAAGCTTGTTCTACAGAATGGCCGAGCACTCCTCGCTGAGCTCCACAGTGGCCAGCTCGCTCAACTTCTGCTTCTTTGAAAGAAGCTCCTTCAGGAACTTCGCATACTTAGGCATTTGAGATAGTGCCTCCAGGAAAGGCACTTGAACATTCAGCTTCCTAAGCATGGCCATGAAGTTCTCGAACTCTGCCTCCAGCCTGTCTTTGTGCAACCGAGTAGGGAAGGGGAGTTTAGGGATATACTCCTTCACTACTGGTTGCGGTTTAGGTGCAGGCACCTCAACCTCCTTCTCGGCTTCTGCTTCAGCTGCTGGCGATGCCGAGGCAGGGGCCTCTCTCTCTTGTTCCCGAGCAGGTGGATCAACAGTCATCTTGCCACTCCTGGTCATGATGGCATTGCAGTGCTCATTCGGGTTCTGAGGGTGAGGAATGGTCTGACCGGGCAAGGTACCAGGAGCCCTTTGTGCTACAGCCTGGGCAACACTCCCAAGCTGGGTCTGTATATCCCGCAGCACAGCCTGTGTATTTCTCTGACCAGCTTCTAGCTCCAAGAATTTGCCTGAATCTTTCTCCATGAATTGCTCGATGTTATTGAACTTGTTCGCACTGGAGGTGGCCAGAGAACCCACCAATTCCCGCAGTTCAGCCATCTGATCATTCTGCACTGGGGCGGCAGGGGCTGCACCTGGCTGCTGGAAAGGTCGCGGCTGTGATGGAGCAGCATGCCCCTGCATGGGCTGGTAGAGAGACTGTTGTGGCTGCTGGAATTGCCCCTGTCTGGGCTGATATGGTGGCCTCTGGAAGCCCGATGGTCCCTGGGGAACTGGTGGTCTGGAATTTGCCCCACCCCAGGAGAAGTTAGGATGCTGGCGCCACCCCTCATTGTAGGTGTTACTGTAGGGGTCGTTGCGCCTAACATTGTTGATGAAGTTCACCTGCTCCTGGGGTGTTGTCGATTCCTTCATCGCTTGGCAGTCTTCCACAATGTGATGGGAGCTCTCGCACCACTGGCAGAGCATCGCCTGCGGCTGGCCTGTACCTGCAATCAAACCAGAACGGTCGATAGCTGACACCAGCTTCGATACCACCTGCACCAAATCAGATGACTGGGTGCCTACAACATGCACACCCTGTCCCGGTGCTCGTCTCGATCTCCTGGCAGTGCCCCAATCGTATCCGTTCTCCGCCATCTCCTCAAAGAGTTGATTCAGCTGTGGCGGTGTTTTGGTCAGCATGTTCCCGCCACAGACAGAATCAATCAGCTGCTTGTCCTCCGGGAAGAGGGCATGATAGAAGGTTCCCACCTTGAAAGCATCGTTGAAACCATGATTGGGACATCTTAGGAAGAGACTGTTGTATCTCTCCCAAGCATCCCGGATGGTCTCATCTTCATCCTGGGTGAAGTGGGTGATCTGCTTCTGCAAGTCCGCCGTCTTGGACGGAGGATGGTAGCGGGTGAGGAACTTGTCCGCCAGGTTGGCGAACGTGGTGATGGAGCCTGGAGGTCGAGTGTCTAGCCACTCCTTGGCCTGCCCCTCCAGAGTGAATGGGAAGTACCTCAGCTGGATGGCATCTGCGGGTACCCCATTGATCTTGATTCCATCAATGAGCTCGTGGAATCGCCGGAGATGTGATCGGGGGCACTCCCCCTCCTTACCACGGAACACCACTGAACCGCGCAGCATGGTGATTACTGAGGTGCTCACCTCAAAATTGTTGGCTGGGACATGAGGATGCTGAATGGGTGACCTCATGTCCGCAGCTCTAGCGGTCCAGTAGGACCCCATGGTTTGCTCTTCAGGGATCATATCATGGTTCCCTGGTTCAGCCATCTCTTCTTCTTCCTCCTCTAACTGCAGCTGTGATAGCGCCTCCTCCGCAGCCAGTCGCGCCTTTAGAGCCCGCTTGAAGTTTCTGCAGGTTCGTTCAAGCTCCTGGTCTAGTGGTAGTAGATCTCCCGACTGGCTACGGGTCATGCACTACCTGCACACAAACAGCAGAAGCAACCCGTGAAGGCACACAGGTGGAAAAGAGAAAATGCAGTAAATAACAAGCTAGAGTAACAAATTCTCACGTTTCCCCAATAACCTAGAGGGTTCCCCGGCAACGGCGCCAAAAACTTGACACGCCAAAACACAACACCAATCTGCGACCAAGTGTAATCGCAGACCGGGAATGCAGTAACAGGCAAGTTATATTATCAACCCGGGCTCTAGATCTACTGCTTACTCAGTGATTCTCTGTTATCTAGCCAACTAAAGTAAGTGATTGTTGTTTAAACTAAAAGTAGAAATAAAGCAGGAAATTATTCGGTTTTCTTGAGCAGGAAAGAGTCACTCGGGAATGAATCCCCCTAGCTCTTTAGTTAGGTTTCAATTGCAATTTACCCTGGGTTGATTTACTGTTGATTAAACTGCGGAAGATCCGACAGTAGCTTGGAATCTCTTAAGCTGACCAAGCCGTCTCAGTCTAACTACCCGGCAGACGACTAGTCTTCACCGGGATAGAAAGCTGAAGCAGTAAGAACAGAAATTCACTACTGGAATTAGATTCCAGTACAAAGCAGTAAACTGGCTAACTCTCGTATAACCAGTCTCCTACTATCGAATGATGAGACTCTAGCAACCTAATCAGATTCTATCTATCTCAGATTGCAGCAGGAATCAGGAAAAGTTGATCAGACTTCAATTGACTCAATAAACATGCATCATTCGATTAAAATCAAACAGTAATATCATCCCAAGTCATTACAATCAATCCCCTAACACATAGAACTAGGGTTCTTCATCCCCAAGTGAGAGAGAGGTTCTACTCCATAGAGAGAGAAAAGAAAACAGTAATCGGAGTAGTCATACTCATAATGATGAGGAAAATCTGCTCCGGGATGATGATTTCCACTCCTAGGACGATCTCCAAGCTTGATTTGATGAAACCCAGCTCCAAGATGGCTTCTAGGGTGAGTTCTTCGCACTTTCTCTCTCTAAAACTCTGTTTTTTGCTCCAGGAATTCGATCCTCCCCCTTTTTGCTCGGAATAGGCTCTAAAACCAGATTTCCCGACTCGCACGGCCAGGGTGCACGGCCGTGCATATCACCATTCTGGCCGTGCAACTCAAAACGCAGCGTGTCATTTAGTCGAACTTCAGCCCTCTCGCACGGCCAGGGTGCACGGCCGTGCGAGCTTCAGGGGTTGCCCGTGCGTGTCCTCGGCATAAGGCGCACGGCCATATTGCTCACGTGCACGGCCGTGCAGCCTCCCTGGTCTGCCCGTGCAGCTCCCCAAGAACCTCGCCATTCGTCCGTTCTTCGTCCAATCGACCCCAGACTCGCTCCTAAGCCTTCATTCACGTACTAGGACCTCAAACATCACAAACAAGCACAACCTAGCGTGAAATCGGCCTAAAACACGAGAATCAACACCTCAAACGGTGTAAGAATGGGGGTAAAATCATGTGTAAATGACGGTCTATCACTCGTATTATTAGCTTCGTCTATGCTATTACTACTATGCTGATTGACTTAACTATGAGTAGAGGTGGATGTTTTGAGTTAATTTTCTGCCATACTTAGATTCCCTCATTCGTAGTCATACATGGGCAAGTTAAAGTACAACTAGATAGCATATATATATTTTTAGAAGCAAAACCACTTTTAGAAGCTCATGGATGAACCTCAATCCATGATCCAAAAAAATCATTCAAGCACAATAAATTTCAGTGTTTAAAACCCATACCAATTTCGCAGAATCGCAAGCAGTGGCGACGATTCATAGACGTTAAAAGTACCCATCTCTATTTTCATTACACCAAGATCCATTTTTTACTACTTAGTTTAGGTAGAAGCAAATCCATAAATTTTAAGCTTTAAACCAAGCCTCCAAAACCGTATGTCATCAGAGGCACATACGCAAAAAGCCTCATTTTCTATCAAAAAGTTTTGGATCAAAACTACCAGATTCAAAACTCAATAACAAGCAAATCCCCTTTCTGAATTTATACCTCCTAACCATGCTAGGTGTAGTCCGAAAAACACCATTTCAGAATCATACGTACTCATACATAACCAGTTTTTAATGAAAACCAAAGATCTGTAAAGAAATTCTGAACCACAACACAATACTTTGTTTTTTTTTAGTTTAACCTCCCCAGTCATACTAAACTCAGTTTAGGATGATCCTTACCTAGATCTGCCCAATTTTCAAAACCTGTGTCAAACAAGAATAGAGGTCAGAATCGGTTAAAGGAATAATAAATCAAAAGTAAAAATCACAGAAACCAAAACATCACCTGTCGCCGTCATCACACCACCGCCGGCAAAGGCTTGCCGACGGAGACCCTAGCCACCAAAGTTTCCCTTATTCTCCCCTCGTCGAATCCAAAAAAAAAATCAAAATACAATAAAAAAAAATCAAAATCAGAATAGAAATCGTCAAAATCTCAAGCAAACCAAACATGCAACAACAGCGGTAGCTTACCGCTGGCGTGAGGGCTGTACTCGACGTCATCGAAGTTCTAAGTCACCAGCGAACCATTTTCTTCTCCCACCGTCCGAACCCAAACCATAAGAAAGTCCAAAATATAAAACGATTAGAACCCTAAAATTTCTTAAAATCAACAAATAAAGCGAAAGAAAACAACATGCAAGCAAAATCCCTACCTGGATTGACATACCTCCAGTCGATTGAAGTCGATTCAGGTCGTCATCTCGTCGTCGTTTTGTCGCGGCCGTGGGAGGCTTGTGGTAAGTTTTAGGTTTTCATTTCCTTGGGGCAGAGGCGAGAAACAGAGAGTTCGAGAGGCGAGGATTACGGCGGCAAGGCTTGGCTAGGGTTTCGCTTTTCTCTGTGAGGGAAGAAGAGAGGAGAAAATTAGAGAGAGTTGAGAGAATAACGAGAGAGAGAGAGAGAGAGAGAGAGAGAGAGAGAGCCGATTTGGTCTACTAGGGTTAGGCTTTGTTTTTTTTTTCCAGTTTAAGACGTTTATATATGTTTCCAAAAGACTAGATTACCCTAGGGTTTCGCTGAAATTACATGCCCTGCCACCGCGTTTTTGTGTAATCACCAAAATACCCTTCCCCTTTGTTGCACCAAAACGAGAATCAATGAAAAATTCAGGCTAGGGGATTCGAACCCACATCCTCGCGATCGAACACGATTTAGGACTGCCTGTTTAGCCACTTGGGCTACTAGCCCATCATTTGTAGTTGTAATCGTCACATTCAAGTTTATTTGTTTAAAATCCTTAATACGAAATATTGGTTGCGGATTAAGTTTATATTGTTCCTTTTCTAATACATCAAATTTCTTCTTAATGATTAAAATCCTTGCATTTATTTTATTAACATCATAATAATTTAAATTTTAGTATAACAAAATCTTTAATACGAAAATTACGTTCAGTGGAACGTGGTAAAAGTTATAATTGAAATTATCAAATTCCAACGAACTACGTAGACTTTGATCCCGTCTAACGGGTACGTAGGCAACCGATACGGTTCGAGTCCAACTAACCAATTAATTTTATCTTTTACGTCAGTGGACGTACAATTAAATTACAATTAATACGATTCAATTTATTTAATGGTCCAGTGGGACCCTCAAATTAGAAAAATATTACAAAATACACCCAACTCGTATAAAACTTATCGACTTAAGTAGTACCGATTTAGGGCGTTGTGGGGTGTGATTTCACTTTCCCACACGTAACCGTACTCCCGAACCCAAATCTCTTAACCGCAGACCATATCTCGGTTCTGACCCTAAGTTTAGAGCCGATTCGAAGAGTGTTCGATTCACTCCAAGTAAGATCGATGGCGACTCCCAAAATTGCCGACGCGACGACATCGGACCCCCGGAGGGACGGTTGCGACAGTTGGCGACTCCGCTGGGGACTCGAGAGTCGATCTACATAATTAAGTTCGATAAGTTTTCTATTTTCCTATTACATGTTGGGTGTTTACTTTCTTATTTGCGCAATTATATTTTCGCAATTTAATTTTGCATTCAGGCATAAAAGCTCTATATCCGAGCTATCCTATTAGAAACGGAAAAGGAGTACCGTGACTTTCACAGTAGTGGAAAGCACGCAAAACTTTCCAACCAAGTTGAACTCAGATCCGAGGTTGATCTTGAGATACCTAGCTAGTTCGAAAGGGCTATAGCGGGGTACAACTTGGGAGCCAAATCCCTAGAAATTCCTCTGCCAGCATATAGTAAACATAGCGACCACCATCAGCCATCCTTAACATATCCCGAAACCACCCTAAAATCACGTCATTATGCCCTCCGAAAGCCCTAGGTCTACCAAATTAGGTTTATGATTTTATTATCTGTATATATGTTTTCTAACGATGTGATAACTTGTGTTGTATACTTCCAATCGCAAAATAATTTGTATGTGTGAACATTGTAATTTTTTATAATAAAAAAAACTCATAAGCATCATTCTCTCTTTGTTTTTCACTTATGCATTCAAAATAAATCATGAAAACATTTTTAAAGTGCACGTGCATCCATTGAAATCATCAGTGCATCTATGCATCATATTATTCATACATACACCATCACAAAAAAAGGAAATAATTTGACTATATTGAGACAACCCAGGTTTCCTCAAAATTGCTCTTCCTCAATGAAAATTCAAATCCTTAAACATCGACAGGATCCAAAGTTATGCTCATTTTGGAGTCACTATAGAGGGAATTATACTTCATCAAAAGAAGGTTAGCGACACTTGAAGAAATGAAAGAACATGTGAGCATTTTCCATAAGGCTTCGTAAAAAATTTGAAGAAAACCACGACTCATTGCTGGAGAGCAACCACAACTTGCAGTCCAATCAAGAAAATCATTAGGCAAGCCACGAAGCAAAGCTCAATGCATGGATGATGTTGATTATCATAAACTAATCGAGACAGTTTACCTTGTTAAAATTTGTATCGCTTTTGCTTCCATCGTCGTGAATAAAGATCTTTTAACTT